GAGAAAAATAAAAAATGTTATATTGAAGTCATAGTGAAATTTATTTCAAAGTAAAATAAATTTGAATCAACAAAATAAACTGCAAAAAGTTTTTAATATCTTTTTTAAAAATTTATTTTAATTAAAATTTTTTTTTTAACAAAATTTGAAAAAACAGTGAATTTTTTTCTCCGACTGTTGTATCTCTTTTTCTATGATCAAAGTTTTTAATATCTAATACAGTATATGGAAGAAGACAGTTAACACTATTTACCAACTCATGTTTCGTGGGACACCCTGCATATTCCATTTGAAAATCAGTGAAGATTTCTTTAAGTATTTAATCCCGAGGTTTCAAAATGTTTAGAACTTGTTTCTAATGAATTCATATATTTACTATTATGAGATGCTTTGATGTTGGGACAATAGAATAATTCCCTTGTTAATATATAAACCTATTGTGTTCTGATAAATACTACACAATTCATGAAAGAACTGGTTTTTGTATGAAAATTAAATGTTATTATAAACAAGAAAATACTTTTTATAAAAAATGTTCGCGGTAAATTTAAATTTTTTTACAAAATTCGAATTTTTTGGGATTTTTTTTTAACTTGGAGTATTTATAAACATTTCCTGGGGTCGCGTGAGTTGCCTAAAAAATTTTGGGCCCGATCGGTTCGGCTATTTTGACGTTTTTTGGTTACAACCGGACAGACAAGCAAAGTATATATATACTCTAATCTTTCTCCGATATATAGATTTAAAAAATACAGCCAATCTCACATATAAGAATACATAGCAAGAGCGCATAACATGTCGTCTTGAAATTTATTAAAAAATGTATGACAACTTGAATGCTTTCTCGTTGGTCTGCCCAAAAAGAAACCTGCTGAGATGTTCGCAGCTTCAAAGGGTTGAATACGCTTTGTGAAAATATATCCAAACATCAATGTAGAGTCATAAGTTTTTTGATACTGCTTTTTATTTTTAATTCAAGGTAAATCAATAGCCCTGAAATATGAAGGACAGCAATTGATTTATTAAATTCGTTTTTCCGCGGCATTTGATCTTAAATATGTTTAGAATACGACATTATAAAAACTCTTGCTATGAATTCATATATCTGGGATTCATTGTAAGATATTTCAAAATATAAAAATTTTAATTCTCTAAATGCCCTAACCTCTAAATAATCCAGCTGGCAGTTGACGGAGGCCGGAATATCGAGGCTGGTGATATTTAAGATGATCTTCTCCCCGTGGGTCGCCAGAATCCTCCACTGGCAGAGGTCACCCTGTAAATAGTGTATTGTTAGAGGTCACCCTGTAAATAGTGCATTGTTAGAGGTCACCCTGTAAATAGTGCATTGTTAAAGGTCACCCTGTAAATAGTGCATTGTTAGAGGTCACCCTGTAAATTTTGTTAGAGGTCACCCTGTAAAAGTGTTGTAATTCGTTGTTCGTTTTTACAAACTTTTAATAAATCTTCCAAGATTTTTAAGTTATAGTAGGCTTTTTAAACTTTAGAATATTTCTATCCCCCCAAAAAAAAGAACAATCGAAATAAAATCCTTGTAATAAATCCGTTTTTGTATTGTGTTTCTCGTTAATATTTGGTTTGTAATATTAACATATAGTGAATCCCAGATATATGAATACATAGCAAGAGTTTTTTATAATGTCGTATTACATACTTAAGATCAAATGCCGCGGAAAAATGAGTTTAAAAATTAATATATCAACTGCATTCATATTTCAGAGCTATTCATTTACCTTGAATTAAAAATAAAAAGAAGTTTCTCTAGAATCATCAAAAACTGATGACGGTCTATGTATTCAAATATATAGAATTCACCGTATATTTTATGTCAGGATGAAATTTAGGCATTATTTAGATTAGCAAATGTTAAGAATAAATGAAAATAACTGGTGTAGTAGTAAAATAAATCATTTTCCTTCTAAAATCATTATGTTTTCTCTAGACTTGATATAACTAAATAACTAAATAACTAAATAACTAACTAACTAAATAACTAAATAACTTAATAACAAAATAACTAAATAACTAAATGATTTTAAAGAGACATTGAATGATTTTTTGCGTAATAAGTTTCAAAAAAGGGATTTAAAGGAATTGAGTCTTTGCCACAAACTCAGATCTTTAAATCATCATATCTTTGCGACCCAATGTCGTGGACCTTAGAAATTTCAAACTATGGATTCTGTAATATCAAATAATCTAAGTTTGAAATATCAAAGATTTACACCATTTATAAGATATGGGAATTAGCAAATTTGAGTTTGTGACAAAGACTCAATTCATTTGAACAAGGTAAAATGCAAACAGGAGTATTAGATGCAGAAATATTAAAAACAAGAATTTTAAAAACATAAATATTCAAAACAGGAGACCTCAAAGACAGATTTTAATCAAAACAGGAATATTCGAACCAGGAAAGTATTCAAATGAGGAATATTCAAATCAGCAACACTTTAAACAGGAAATCTAAAACAGGAATATTCAAAATAGCAAAATAATCAAAGCCGGGAATATTTAAAACAGGAATATTCAAAATAGCAAAATAATCAAAGCCGGGAATATTTAAAACAGTAATATTCAAAACAAGAATATGCAAGCCAGGAATATTAAAAACAAGAATATTCAACCCAGGAATATTAAAAACAGGAATATTCAAGCCAGGAATATTCAAAACAGGAATATGCAAGCCAGGAATATTAAAAACAAGAATATTTAAGCCAGGAATATTAAAAACAAGAATATTCAAAACAAGAATATGCAAGCCAGGAATATTTAAAACAAGAATATTCAAAACAAGAATATTCAAGCCAGGAATATTAAAAACAAGAATATTCAAGCCAGGAATATTTAAAACAAGAATATTCAAGCCAGGAATATTTAAAACAAGAATATGCAAGCAAGGAATATTAAAAACAGGAATATTCAAGCCAGGAATATTTAAAACAGGAATATTCAAGCCAGGAATATTTAAAACAGGAATATTCAAGCCAGGAATATTTAAAACAGGAATATTCAAGCCAGGAATATTAAAAACAGGAATATTCAAGCCAGGAATATTCAAAACAGGAATATTCAAGCCAGGAATATTCAAAACAAGAACATGCAAGCCAGGAATATTAAAAACAAGAATGACAAAACAGGAATAATCAAGTCAGGAATATTCAAAACAGGAATATTCAAAACGGGATTATTGAAAAGTCTAATAATATTCAGAACCGGATTGTTTTGAACTTCAAAGTTTGAAAACTGTGATATGTAACGTGAAGGGGCAAAACTTTTGTTTATTTGTTTCTAAAATCTTTTCAATAAATTTTGATTCAAACAAAGAAAAAATCACTTGAATGAGAACGTGATATAAATGCATAATATTCTTTGAACTACAACAATATAAACCTCAACATTTTTATCATAATTTAATCTGCAAAACAAAACTTCATCTCTAAAATCGGTTTTATTTTTAATAGTGGATAAATGATAAAAGTGTATACCAAATATTATCCATTTTATAATCTTCGTTCTTTGTATATTAAAAACTAACGGAGAAATATTTTGTTGCTATTAACTCCAATGTTAATGAGGTGATAACAAAAGCGATTTAAATGGACAGACCGGCTATGTAAGGTAGTTAAACTGAGTAGAATGCAGTGTTGTGGACAAATTCTTTAGGATTCAATTGAGACATATAAAACTTTCTAAATGTCTGTAAATCCTGAGTTTGAATCCACAACACTGCATACTCAGTTTAACTACCTTACATTGCCGGTCTGTCCCTTTAAAAGGGTGCTTGTTTTTACTTTCGGTAATATCAGACTATAGTTATTGTTTTTGTTAATTGGTCTAATTACCAAGAATATTCAAGAATTCTATCCATTTAGTTATTCTGCTTCTGTTGTGCAGACAATAACATGAAAAGAGCTCTTTCTACTTTTTTTCAAAAGAATAAACGTTTCGCATAAATTTCTGTCAGAATGTTGTAAAAACTTATTGAATATTTCACATATAAGCGAGCCAAGCAACAAAAGAATATTGAAATCATCATAATAGATTCAATTTTAAGATAAGCAAATATATCTTTAAAAATAACCGACAGATTTGCCAAGCAAGCTGGAGTTTTTTTTTGTAAATTTCGTAGATAAAAAAAAAAGAAGATATTTTAATAAAACTTATGTTTGTATCCAATAAATGTCAAAACGGCGGAATCAATTTTTTTAAATAATAGAAATCCGTGTTAAGAGTTTTACAATTGCGAGAAAATGTCGGCTTTGAAAACTGCATTAAAACAATAAACTTGATACCACAAAGCGCCCTGATCATTATATAATATTAAGTTCAAAGTTTATTTTTAAACATTTAACTAAAGAGAACTCGTAGATTCGCATCTGTTCCATGATTTATGCCAAAATTACCTTTTTCCTAAATGAAGACGTAAAATCCTAATTTTATTCAAAATTAGTTTTGAATGTGCTTCAGATTAAAGCTAACAACAACCACGAAATGGTTTAGGATGGGTTGGTTGGGATATTCTAGGATCCCTCCCAGGGATATTCTAGGAT